GTCACAAGAATTTCTTCACGTTATATATCCCAGAAGCACTTAGGTATTACTCTGAATGCCAGGACTTCAGCCTGGGTGAACCAGAAAGGATAGAAAACACTTCCCTATTTTAACCATGAATGAAAACCTAAGTATGTTATATATCCCAGTAGCATTAAGGCATTACAATGAATGCCAGGACTTCTGCCTGGGTGAACCAATAAGGATAGGCAACAATTCCCCGTGATTGTCAAAGAAACTAAGTATGTTATGTATTCCAGAAGCACTAAGGCATTACTCTTAATATCAGGACTTCAGCCTGGGTGAACCAGAAAAGATAGACAACACTTCCCTATATTAACCATGACTGAAAAGCTAAGTATGTTATATATCCCTGAAGCACTCAGGCATTAATTACACTAAATACCAGGACTTCAGCCTGTGTGAACCAGAAAGGATAGACAACACTTCCCAAGATTGACCATGAATGAAAAACTAAGTATGTTATATATCCCAGAAGCGCTCAGGCATTACACTGAATGTCAGGACTTCAGCCGGGGTGAACCACAAAGGATAGACAACACTTCCCTATAATATTCGTGAATGAAAAACTAAGTATGTCATGTGTCCTAGAAGCGTTCAGGCATTACTCTGAATGCCAGGACTTCAGCCTGATTTTCATTCATGATTAATATAGGGAAGTGTTGTCTATCCTTTCTGGTTCACTCAGGCGGGTAAGGTAACGAATCTGATCCAACCGACGCGTCGGCCGACACGTTGGCCGGACCTTATAGAAAGACTCTGCCTCGCTGGTACTTTCGCTTGGCTCCAAACTTCGACTCGTCGATCTCCACTGTTTTTCCTACACCTCCGATCTTCATGTCAGCGTTCATAATTTTCGTCGAACATACCGTTCGTAAGTCGCTCAGCGCACGGATCACTGTAGGCTTTGAAAGGCTAGTCAGTCTGGCGATGTTACTTCCAGAAGCCTTGATAGCCCACAGGAACATTAGATGAAGCCACGTACTCAGCGGGATGTTGGAACCTTCGAAAAACCAGGTTCAAAAAGCTAGGTTCGACAGCGGCTGTTTGTACAGCATCGGTGGTGTGTCGGTAGTGTGTCGGCCGACGCGTCGGTTGGATCAGATTCGTTACCTTCATCACACCATTTACTTTACATCTTTAGTGACTTTATCTTAAATTTACCACCTACCGTGTTTCGAGGTTCCGAAGCATAACCAAACCATGTGTATACCTGTTTTCTCATGACTAAGACTAGAGAAACACTTACCGCCGCTATGGCTAAGACTAGAGGAACAGTCACCGCCGCCATTTTGAAGACGAATCGCTTCGCTTTTCTTTGGTTTTGGTTTATTGCAGCCACTTCATAGACAGAACCTACAATCGGCGACAAAATTCACAGTGACGAAAGACACACTGATCTTTTCAACCCCTTCTGTTACTTCAATTTTAGGTCCTTTTCCTTTGTTATGTTAACCCAGAGGGTAAAGTGGAAGCTGCCTTTACAAGAAAAAACACCTGATGAACGGTTCTGACAACTCGCAAAGCAATCTCGCTAAAAATTGTCAGCGGATAACTCCTTTGCAGATGACTCAGCACTACTTGTTTACAAGAAAAGACATGGCAGCTGACTTTGGAAAATTGAGGAATTTTGCCAGGCTGATTCAGTATTTTTTTAAGGATTGGGAGACGTCATCAGTTGGAGCGAACATCAATACATGTTAAATCTATCGCTGTCGGCACGGCTGATTTATGCCGCGAGATTTTAGGTAGGCCGTGGCATTTTGATATTTGCAAAACTAAATTAGCAAATAGAGGATTTTCAAGGATTTTCTTTGCCTTTCTTTATGCAGAAAAAGAGCACTATTTTTGATTTAACGACTGTGAAACGTTTTGCTGTCGTTTATATGCAGTTATGCGGCGACAATAGAAATCGTTAAATTACAATTTGTATTTACGGTTAGTAAAAGCTCAAATTTTGCTGATCACGTTGCTCCAGGATGTTAATTTTATTTCTTCAGACGCATTTACAGATCTGCTCAAAACATACAGTGGGTATCATTTCAGTTGTTCTGGAGCGGTTTAGCCCCACTTTCAGGTTAGCGTGGTTTCGTCGTAATAAATTTGAGTGGCAGAGTATAATTTATTTAATATTTGAAAACCAAAGATTTGACGAGAGGAATGGAATGTTTTTTACTTGTTTGGATGTCAGACGATTACGACTGAGGCAGGTAGTACATTTCCCAAAAATGTGGCGGAAACTTTCCTTAAATAAGACAGGAAGAATGGTGGCAACTGAATATTGGCCACGCTTACTGAGAGAACTAGCCAAGTTAGATGAAGAGTTTGACAGGGTAAAATTCATTTCTTCAAAGAGTCCTTCATTTATAGCGACGGAAAGCGAAAGTAGGGGGGGTATTTGTACGACTTTTATCGAAGCTCAGAGCTTTAAGCCGCAAATTACACTTCCAGACTAAGACATTTCCCACCTGAACTCGGATTTGTATTTAAAACTACTCGCATCTTCGAACGGGCTTCGTCAAAACAAAATCAATAAACAGGCAAATGAAAAAGTGTATTCAAAATATACAGTTTTACTACGATAACGATTTCAAACCATAGTAGAAAAACAAAGGTAGGAGTTATTTGTTAGACCAATTTCGTAATTAATAGTTGAAAATCATGTGGAAGCATTCTACAAGAGAGATCAAATGTTTCCTTGTATCTATCAAATGCATTCTCT